ATCTATTCTATTCTATTCCATTATCTATTCTATTCTATTCCATTATCTATTCTATTCTATTCCATTATCTATTCTATTCTATTCCATTCCATTCCATTCTATAAATAATGCCCAACAGAAGGAAGAAGGGAAGATGCTTCAGAACGAATGTACAAACCGAATAGTCACAAGTCACAGGGGTAGCAGTAGCCCCTGGAATGTTGTTCTCGGTCTAAAAAATGTGAAATTGCTCAGCTATTAACTGAAATACGTAACTGGTCTCACAAAACATCTTTTTTTTCTGATGGCCTGGAAGATGACCAGATTAATACCAATCTTCAAAAAGAGGATCCTGGGAATTACAAACCTGTCAACCAGACTTTTTTGTAAGATAATACCGATAAGAGAGTTAAAAATCCAGGCTGGGGAACTGGAGAAAACGCCTACTAGCCTAATCTAATCTTCTTGAATCTGGATGGGCTTCTAAAAAAGAATCTTGCCTTGCTTAAAGAATCAGAACTTTTTAAAAGCTCTTAACAAACTTGTCTCTTAATCTGCATTCAAAGGTGACTTTATTTGTTTTCACCAGCCAAGCGCCTCCCCCAGAAGCTTCTAAGAAACTTGGAAAGACCCAAGAAGAGCCCTACAGATCATTAACCAGGGAAAAGAAGGAAGAAAAATAATACTGCATTCACTGTGGAGATAAGCAGAATTCCTTCCCTCTTATCAGTCTGAACCTGTGGAATTTCAACATCAAAGATCTACCCAGAATAGAAACTGGCGCCTCAGTGGCAGCAGAATTAGATGGGCGGCAGATAAATCGAATAAGTAAATAAAAATAAAATTAGGAGAGGATCAAAGCTACAAAAGCAGACCCACAATTTAAAATGACTGTAATTTAAAATATCAGTACGTTTGCACTGGGAATATTTAATGCATTTCACCTTTTATAACATCAAAGGTTAATATCCCGGTTATCCAGTGGCAACTTTTAATTTTGAAGGTTGGGGATGGGAGAAATTATTCTCAGAAGGAACATCCTGATTTACAAGACTTATATCTCATCTTCCAATGTCCCCAAATATATAAAAGTGCCTCCATTATATATGAGCCTCATGTGAAAATAACCGAAACACTTGAGAGACCGCCTACTGCCAATTACCTCCACGCGACCTATTAGATCTCATCGATTAGGCCTCCTCCGAGTTCCA